CGAAACGTAACACGTCGCGGGGGAAACACACTTTGCTCTTGTTGTCTTTCTCCCGCGCGAGATTTGCGAAATGCCGCTGCTCGCTCGTAACGGGACGGCACTTGAGAGACAAGCACTCTCTGACGTGTCTTTTCATCCATTTCGAAGTATCAATTCGAACACATCTCGTCGACAACGTGCAATTATCTTCTTCGCGTTCTTTCTTTTCGCGAAGAAACGGACGTCGTTAATAAAATCGTATGTTCGTCAAACAAAAAAAAACAGTAATCGCGACAGTGATTGTCGCGATTTGCGATCGCTTTCGTTGCGGGAGGGGAAAAAAAAATCAACTTCGCGCTCTCCGTTAGTTCGCTCCTTGGATTCGCTTTTCTTTTTGCGTTCGCGGATTTCAAGAATCCCGAGCTAAAAGAATCTTTTCACACATATTTTATAATATTTGAAGTCAGTTGAAAAGAGAGAGAGAGAGAGAGAGAGAACTTCTCTGTATGTTAAACCCACCCCATTGTATTTCCCCCCTCCCAAGTGGTCAATTATCTCGTTTCCTTTTTTCAATTGCTCGGTGGAAGAGCTGCTGCTGCTGCTACGGGCGCGCCGTTATACATAACTGTGCAGCGCGAGAACTCCCGTGCGAGAAGGAAAACAACAGAAAATACAAGTGCGAGGACAGCGAGGAGGAATTGATAAAAGTCGTAATGCTGCGAAGTGTTGCGGAGCGTCCGATATGCGCGATCGAGTATGTCGAGGGCACACATAGGAGTAAAAAAAAAAAAAAAAACGGGAAGATGGGACGCGCGAGCACGGACACGGTGAATGGACAGCACGTTACACACAGTAGAAAGAAAAGCGACTTATGTGGTGGGTTGTCGTTACCATAACGACAGGGGGGCGAGCGACGCTTCGCGCCGATGCCATTGCCCCCGGTGCATTACGTGTCTCTCCCTCGCGTACACCCCGGGGAAGATGGAAAGGGGGATGATCCCGGATTGTGAAACTTATATTAGGGTGGCCGGCGCGGTCACATTTAAGAACAAGAGAATCGAACGAACGAGACTCGCGCGATTATGTCGTCGATATCTGGCATTTTGCTCGCGAGAATATTTTAGTGGCAAATATATTCGCGAACGGAAAACACGTCTAGTCTCTTTTTCAATCGCCGATTTCTCGATCAAATTTGATGTGATATTTCCTCGATGAGAAAAACAAATACGCCACAGCGTTTGTATATTTTTCATGTGTTTTTTTAATTAAGCTACAGCGATTGAAGATAATTTTTTTTATTTTTAACGTAAAGGAATTATTATCTTCGGATAAAAAGACTTGACGCTCGTGAAATTGTTAACAGGAATCAAATAAGGCCGATACGAGCCATTCACAGGATGTTTGTGCGGAAACTATGCGTGTACATATACATATATATATATATATATATAAATGTAACGAATTTTACTTGTAAATTTTTACAAGTATTTTTTGAATTGAAATCTCAATTCTTAAAATCATACGGGATGCTAGATTTGCATCTCGCATATGGAAAACCCCGGATACCTCCCTAACTAATTTTAAAATATTGCGAAAAAAACTCCTCGGCCAGGAGTCGAACCTGGAATCTCCGGCTTTCCGTGCCATGAAAAGGTGCCTGATTCCAGGTTCGACTCCTGGCCGAGGAGTTTTTTTCGCAATATTTTAAAATTAGTTAGGGGGGTATCCGGGGTTTTCCATATGTGAGATGCAAATCTAGCATCCCGTATGATTTTAAGAATTGAGATTTCAATTCAAAAA